TCTATTCCTCGGCGGAAGGCGGCGGAATGGTGGCGGAAGGGCGGCGGAAAGTCGACGGAAGTTAAACGAGGCCGCCTCCGCCGGCGGAAGCTCGGCGGAAGGCGGCGGAAGTAAAATATGTGCCCCCAATAGATGAATATGTATTTGGGTTCGGGGCTTCGAAATCGCCCACGTGTGTGCGACGAGTGCACGGCTGGAGTGCGGCTCCTCTTCAGAGTGGGGTTGTCGCTGGGATTTTTTTAAAGCTTTCTGATCTTGCCTGGCAACGTAGCTCCCCGCCTTGCTGGCGGGCTCATGTGTGGCGCTCGTCTTTAGATTGAAGGCGCTTCGCGTAGCAGAAACTATACCCAGGGACGACATGAGGGAACCAGTGGTTGGTTACTTGGGAAGCGTCGTGGATTCATCTTGGGTTTCCTCCCTCCCTCCCTTCCTCCTTCCCTCCCTCCCTCCTCCATCCCTCCTCTTCCTCCTCCTCCTCCTCCTCCGCCTCCGCCCTCCTCCTCTTCTTCCGCCCTTCTCCTCCTCCTCTCCTCCTCCTCTCCTCCTCCTCCTCCTCCTCCTCCTCCTCCTCCTCCTCTCCTTCCCTCCTCTAACTCCTAACTCCTTCTCTCTAAGCAGCTCCACCCTGCTTACCACCAGGCGCGTCTTTAGGCCAGTCCTGGAGTCTCCCCCTTTTCTGCAGCTGAGAAGCTCCAGCGGCTTTTAGGATGGAGGGCCCGTAATTTTCAACATTCGGTTCTCGTTCCAGCGCCGCGCGCATTCGTCGTAAACGTTTGTAACAGCCTGCAGGATGGAGGGCTGGTTCGTTTTCAAAATGCGGCTCTCGCTTTGGCGCGGCGTGCGTGTGTTGCTACTGCTGCAACAGCTTCAAGGATAGAGGGTTGCTCGTTTTCAGGATGCGGATCTCGCTTTGGCGCAGCGGGCATCAAAATGCAGCTCTCGCTTTGGCGCGGCGTGCGTGTGTTGATACTTCTGCAACAGCTTCAAGGATAGAGGGTTGCTCGTTTTCAGGATGCGGATCTCGCTTTGGCGCAGCGGACATTCGCTTGAACATTTTGCATTAGTTTCAAGGATGGAGGGCAGTTCCTTTCCAGAACGGGATTCTTGTGTTAGCGACGAGCGCATTCGTTTCAACAGTTTGCAACATCAGTGGGATGAAGAGCAACTCCTTGTCGAAATGGCGCTCTCGCTTGTGGTCTCTTCAATTTAGAAGGCCACACGCTTGAAATTATGTAATGACTTCCCGAGAATGCGGGTCCTTGCCAACATAGCGTTCTCGCGTGGTACTTCATCAAACTTCTTCTTCAGTCGTCGAGTCTTGTTTAACATTCACACAAGTGGGGTGGGGGGCGGTTCCTGTTCATAGTAGGGTTGTCGCTGTACACCTCGTGGGAATTGATGACCGCGCCTTTTCTCGCACCCCCTAGCACTCGCCAGGATGACGCAAGCCCGTTTCTTTTCAAACTTGGGCCCTCGCCCTAATCGCATGGCACGCCCATCGGGTGCTGCTCTCAATGGGGGCGCTTCGTGCAGTGAGAGGAGAGACTTGCAAGGACTTGTGAGGAGGGGGCTCGGGACGGGACGGTATACCGCAGCATCTCTGATGGGTTCTAGGGTTTACGCTGGCCGTCCTCCTCTTCCTCCTCTTCCTCTTACCGCGGGCGCGTGACCCCGCGCGCGCACGCGCATGCGTGCGCGCGCGTACGTGCGTGTGTGTGTGTGTGTGTGTGGTGGTGTGTGTGTTTTTGGGGGTTGGTTTTGTGTGTGTGTGTGTGTGTGTGTGTGTTGGTGTGTGTGTGTGTGTGTGTGTGTGTGTGTGTGTGTGTGTGTGTGTGTTGGTGTGTGTGTGTGTGTGTGTTGGTGTGTGTGTGTGTGTGTGTGGGTAGCCTTCCGCCAGCGCAAAAAAAGCGCGCGGGCGCGTGTGTGTATACGTGTGGGCGAAGGGGGGATACGGACGATTGGGGGCAGCGGCGGCGTCCATGGAGGAAGGGGGGAACCAGGACCAGTGTAAACCGAGGGTCCATCAGCGATATTGCAAGAGATCCTCCCTTCAAGTTGTCCCTAAATGGGCCCCCGTAAGGATCTACTCCCACTGCGGGAAGAAGCCCGCTGGACGACAACCGTCTGACTTGCTAGCGCACTATTCCTGGGGCCCCAGCGCCGCGAATCAATGTCACTGTTGCGACCTGCGGGTCCTGAAGGGTGCCAGAGCATAATTGCTAGGACGTCACCACCGCGAACCAGCGCGGCTGTCGCGACCTGACAGCCCTGAATCATGCCAACACACAGTTTCTGGAACGCCAGTCGCAATAATCCTTGAGCCTGCTGTAACCTGTGAAGACGGGTGTTCGCGGCGCTAAGGCGAGAACTGGACTTTGAAAAGGCGCCACCCTCCATACGTGAAGCGCATGCACACTTTAAGGATGACTGTGCGCGGCGCTGGGGCGAGAGCCACATGTTGAACACCATCCGCCCTCCTTCCGTGAAGCTCTTGCAATTTTTCCAGACGAATGTGCGCGGCGCCTAGGCAAGAGCCGCATTTTGAACACCACCCGCCCTCCATCTGTGAAACTGTTGCGCATTCCAAGCTTGAGGGTTACGCATGGTGATGAAGACTCAGGCGAAGCGTCTGGCCAGCCCATACCGACCCGTCCCAGGGTGCGACAAGAAGGAGGATGATGAGGACGAGGCGGAGGAGGATGAGGAGGAGGTGGAGGAGGAGGAGGATGAGGAGACGGGCGAGGAGGGATGTGAAGGAGGAGGGGGAGGAGAAGGAAGAGTAGGAGGAGGAAGAGGAGGAGTAGGAGGCGGTGGAGGAGGAGGAAGAGGAGGCGAACGATGAGGGAAGGGAAGGGGTGCGAGATGTGGGCGACTACGGTGATGGTGATGATGCTGCTGCTGATGACGATGATGATGATGCTGCTGATGCTGATAATTATGATGATGCTGAGCATGATGCTAATGGTGATGATGCTGATGATGGTCATGCTGATGATGGTGCTGATGATGCTGTTGCTGATGCGAATGCCGGTACTACCGATTCTGATGATGTTGATGCTGCTGATGCTGTTGAGGCTGCTGATGCTGCTTATGCTGATGCTGATGCTGACGAGGAGGTTGATGCTGCTGCTGATGATGATGCTGCTTCTGAGGCTGCTGCTGATCATGATGATGATGCTGATGATGATGCTGCTGATGATGTTGATGATGATGCTGATGCTGATGATGATGCTGACGATGCTTATGCCGATGCTGATCATGATGGGGATGATAATGAAGATGCTGATGCTGCGAATGATGATGCTGATGCTGATGCTGCTGATGATGCTGCTGATGCTGCTGCTGCTGATGCTGAGGACGATGATGGTGATGCTGCTGCGACATCTGCTGATGATCAAGGCGATACTGATGATGATGCTGATGATGATGATGCTGCTGATGATGATGGTGATGATGATGATGCTGCTGCTGATGATGATGATGCTGAGGATGATGATGATGATGATGATGACGATGATGATGATGATGCTGATGCTGATGCTGATGCTGATGCTTATGACGATGATGATGCTGATGATGATGATGATCTTGTTTCTGATGATGATTGCGATGATGCAGAACATGCTGATGCTGCTGCTGATGCTGATGATGACGATGATGCTAGTGCGGCGGCTGCTGCTACGGCTGCTGCTGATGATGATGATGCTAATGCTGACGCTGATGATGATGAGGCTGCTGATGATGAAGATGATGACGCTGATACTGATGATGATGACGATAGTCATGCTGATGATGATGCTGATGATGCTGATGATGCTGATTATATTCGTATGCTGATGGTGCTGATGACGATGCGGCTGATGATGATGCTGCTGATGATGACGATTTTCGATTATTGCTGATGGTGATGATGGTGATGGTGATGATGATGCTGACGCTGATGATGATGATGATGCTGCTGATGATGATGATGCTGATGATGCTGATTGTGATGGTGATGGTGCTGGTGATGATGCTGATTCTTATGCGTATGCTCATGCTGATGTTGCTGCTACTGCTGATGACGATGATTAAGATGATGCCGATGATGATGCTGATGATAATGATGATGCTGCTGATGATGATGCTGATGATGATGTTAATGATGATGATGAGGATGATGCTGCTGATGATGATGATGATGATGCTGCTGATGATCATGCTGATGCTGAACATGATGATGATGATGATGATGATGATGATGATGATGATGATGATGACGATGATGATGATGATGATGATGCTGATGCTGATGCTGATGCTGATGCTGATGCTGCTGCTGCTGATGATGATGATGATGATGATGATGATGATGATGATGATGACGACGATGACGATGATGCTGGTGAAACTCTTGCACATTTTGTAAACGAATGTGCGCGGCGCTAAGACGACAGTCACATTTCGAAAAGGAGCCGCCCTCAATCCGTGAAGCTCTTGCATGTTTTAAAATGAATGTGCGCCGCGCTAAAGCGAGAACCACATTTTGAAAACCACCCGCCTTCAAGTGGTAGTGGTGAGGAGGTCTCAAGCGAACCGCCTGGCCCGCGTTAAAACCATGCTTCGGGGTGCGACAGGGAGAAATTATTCGTAAGGAGCGGAATCGAAGAGGAGGGGGATGATGATGATGATGATGATGATGATGATGATGATGATGATGATGATGATGATGATGATGATGATGATGATGATGATGATGATGATGATGACTGACGAGGAGGAGGATGATGATGAGGAGGAGTAGGAGGGAGGAGGAGGAGGAGGAGGAGGAGCAGGAGGATGAGGAGGAGGAGGAGGAGGAGGAAGAGGAGAGGAGGAGAGAAAGGAGGAGGAGGAGGAGGATGAGAAGGATGAAAAGGAGGGAAAGGAGGAAAAGGAGGAGGAAAAGGAGGAGGGAAAGGAGAAGGAGGAGGAGGCTGAGCCTCGCCGTCGCTGTGCCTTTGGCCGCCCCGAGCCGCCAC